AAAGGAGGGGGCTTTGTTGAAAACGACGTGTTTGAGAGAGGCGGGGCATAGAGGACATACAATAATGTACAGTATTTGAAAAATAATGTGTTTTTTGAACATTAATGCATGTCAACATATTCAGTTACACCAAATACACAAAATAATGATCTTTAAAAAAGCATCATATGACCCCTTTAAAGGACCGCTCTGTGTCACCTGTTACACGCACCATCACTGTAAACTGGCCTGTCAATCATCTTGCCACAGTTAACATCCTCCACATTTCATTTAACTTCACTTCCTAACGTACTGGAGAGAAAAGAAGTAGCTTGTTGATCTGCCAGTCGCGGGTCTTTCATGCGGAGAACATTTAAAGGTTAACGACCAAATGGATGTTTATAAAAGTTCACATTGCTGTTGCAGATGAAATATAACAAGGATAACATTAAATAATATTTTTTTTACCAGGTTAAATGTTGATTATTAGTAACTCAAACCCCTTTTTGTAAACCTCTCTACCTAACCGTCAATCACGCGCATCTGCCACATTTATAGTTTTTCTAATGCGTTTTAATCGTGTTTGTAGTTCTGCACGTAATCCTTCGCCAAAGCGCAATGGATTGTGGGCAATTTTAGCCATTAGAGTGTGCACGGATCCACACTTCAAAAATCGACCTGAAATAGTAGACCATCCTATTTGGGACTTTTGGCATACTCTTTTTAACATACTATGCTTTGGGAGACACTTATTCTAATCTCACATACTATTTAGGATTGATAGTATGAACATTGGGACGCAGGGTGAGTATCATTAGGTGTGTTCGACTTGAAGCGGCACTGCAAAGACCGATCAGTGTATGACATCAAAGTACCGCGAGAACTAGGCCCTGTCTCAAATCGCACCCTAAACCCTTGCGGTCTTCCTCTGAGGCCTTGTCCCAAATGGCAAGAAAACGAAGCATTTGAGAGAGGCGGGGCATAGAGGACCTACAATAATGTACAGTATTTGAAAAATAATGTGTTTTTTGAACATTAAAGCATGTCAACATATTCAGTTACACCAAATACACAAAATAATGATCTTTAAAAAAGCATCATATGACCCCTTTAAAGGACCGCTCTGTGTCACCTGTTACACGCACCATCACTGTAAACTGGCCTGTCAATCATCTTGCCACAGTTAACATCCTCCACATTTCATTTAACTTCACTTCCTAACATACTGGAGAGAAAAGAAGTAGCTTGTTGATCTGCCAGTCGCGGGTCTTTCATGCGGAGAACATTTAAAGGTTAACGACCAAATGGATGTTTATAAAAGTTCACATTGCTGTTGCAGATGAAATATAACAATAAATAAATATTTTTTACCAAGATAAATGTTGAATATTAGTAACTCAAACCCCTTTTAGTAAACCTTTCTACCTAACCATCGATCGCGCGCATCCGCCATGTTTGTAGTTTTTCTAACGCGTTTTATTCGTGTTTGTAGTTCTGGACTGAATCCTTCACCAAAGCGTAATGGATTGTGGGCAATATTAGCCATTAGAGTGTGCACGGATCCACACTTCAAAAATCGATCCACACCTCAAAAATCGACCTGAAATAGTAGACCATCTGGGGACTTTTGGCATACTCTTTTCAACATACTATGCTTTGGGACACACTTATTCTAATCTCACATACTATTTAGGATGGATAGTATGAACATTGAGACGCAGGGATAGTGTGACCCATTAAATATAACTATAAAAAATTAATTAATAATAGTGATAATATTATTGCACTTTAGTTAGTTTTTTTTAAATAAAATAATAAAGTGTGATAATTATATTTTAAAACAAAAAGGGAGTATTAAATACAAATACAATTAGTAAACTTAAAAATATTTACTACTTCTTATTTCTATTTTTTTATATGAATTTTCATCATTTTCAACCTTAAAATCAGCAGGCTTTTATTTTGGCGGGTTGCCGGCAAGTAAGTAGAGCATCAGTGAATGAAATGCCACAGTTTTGCATTGTGCTTTGAAAACGGCAGCTGGTAGCCTAGATTTATGCTTTCAATTTGAATAGAAATCTTATACAGTACAGTTTGTCGATCTAAAATGGTAATTGTGCATTAACAGCTGTCATCTATGTCGGTACGCAAATGCGCTGTCAGAACTTATTTATACAGCGCATTTTTAATTTTGGTCACGCATGCGGACCTGCGGACCACTTATGTGCACCCCTGTTTATAAACACAGTGACAAAAATGCATAGTCCTTTTATTAAATTAATAGATAATAAATAAAACCTCCTTTTTGTGAAATAGTTTACTTGAAAGTGTGCTTGTGCTTTAAAATAAATGTCACTTAGATATTTTGCTATATAATGATGTTCAAGTTTGTCTGAAAATAAAAGGCTGCATATGCAAAGAAAGGACAAAAAAAAACATATATATAAATTAAATAATAAAAAATAATACTGTAAAAAATTAGTAATATTTAAAGAATTATTTATAGAAATTAAAGTGATAAAATGTAATAAAAAATAATTCAAATGTAAGTTATAAAAGGAATAAATTATTTAAAATTATAGGAATTAATGAAAGAAATTAATACATTCGTTCAGCAAACATGCATGTAACTGATCAAAATTGATAGTAACGACTTTTATAATGTTACAAATCATTCCTATTTCAAATAAATGCTGTTTTTTTAACTTTCTATTCATCAAATAATCCTGAAAAATGTATCATGATTTCCACAAAAATTTTTGATCAAATAAATGCAGCATTGGGGAGCAGAAGAGACTTTAAAAGCCATTAAAACCTTTGAACAGTACTGTTTTCAGTAGCAGTGAATCCAGACTCACCACCGGCGTGGGCTCCAGTTGAAATTCTGACACATGCTGTTCTGTGTTCTGAGGTTCTTCTGTGTAATGTGATGGTGGTGAACCCACTCTCACCATCTCAATCTGAAGAAAACCATTCTGAGTCACATCGTCCCCCATCGGCAGAGAGCTGATAACCTCACCCATCGGCACTGGATTGCTGTTACACAGAGGTACTGATCCAAGCATATGAGGTGCTGCCGGCACACCTGACACGTTGTAGTATAATCCCTGTGAAACACAAATATCCCCTTTCAATGGCCACCAACACAAACCATACATAACTGGATGTAGCAAAATTGAACTTCCTCTGGAAAAACTGCTGACTGGCTGAAAAAAAAGAGCTTAAGAAGTTAACCTGAACTAACAATGAAAAATAATTGTAAAGCATTTATTTCTCTCAGTTCATAATAATGGCAACCTTTACATTATTAAAATCCAAAGTTTTTTTTCTGTTCATGTTAATGAATGGACCTGAGCTAACATGAATTAACAATGAACAGTTGTACTTATATTAATTAATGTTAACTAATGCCCGGTTCAGACTACAAGATTTTAGCCCGATTTTGCCACGATTTGCTTGACGTAGGGTGTCATGGGGATTCGTAAACGACAATGGGCTTCGGGACACAAGTTTCCATCTTTTCAGCACGTGTAGTGTGTCATAGTGGACGACAACCGATTCCACGTCTGCGATGCTTCACGACATCACGACAGAAACACTAGCATTTTTTTTCCGTCATCCACGACGAGTTCTGTCACATTGAGTTAATATTAGTTAATGCATTAATTAACATTAACTAATTAACCTTATTGTAAAGCGTTACTGCTTTAAGGGCTCCCTGCAGTTCCTCGTTAAAATAAAATTGGTTTAATGTTTAAAAACAAACATTTTAAGACGACCATTAATAGTAGTATTGTAAAAACATTTTGGCCAAATTGTGCAGCCCTACAAACAAGCACAGCAAACCTGGATTTGTGTTATATTTTTTGAAATAAAACTGACATTTTTCTAAACATTTCTAAAATGTTTGTTTATTTTAAGGCTTGTAACTCTTTATTCTAGATTTGTTAATGCCTATGAAACTAATTTCAGAACCAAGGCTAGAAAATGATGTAGAAAATCTTACCTGAGCACTTAGTCCAGAGGTGTTTGAGTACATCTCATTAGACACCATCACTGACCTCTCACTGCCCAAAATATCAGGATCCTAGAAAAATAGTTAACAAAACACTCAGCAAGATAATATAACATTAAATACATTCATGAAAATAAATTCATATTTCTGGATTGAATTACATGGTTGATGGTGACTTTGGTGTAATGCTGCAATCTCCTCATATTGAAATAACCATATTACTGACAACTCATAAAAACCATTAACTTCATTGTTAATCCCATATCCACAAGCTGGAAACAAGTTGTGAAATTAATGGCAGCTCTGACGTCTCTCACTTGACCGTTGTGATGCCATGTGACCAAAATGGGGGCAGTTTCAACACACATTTCTATAATGGCATTTTATTATAGCCACAGTTCTATACCCTTACTTGTTCCTACACAAGCAGTTAGTTGTGAATGAATGTAGTGAGAAAATTTACCGTCATCAACAACAAATTAGCACATGGACCCATTTCGCTATCCCGTAGAAACGAATCATTTAGTTTAACAGCTCAAGAGCTGTGAGCTTGTAATTCTGGTAATTCCGTCTCGAGGTGAAAGCAGCATAAAACTACACTGTTTTAGTGACTGGTTGTGCAACATTTAAAAATCAGAAACCTCCTCTGTGATGGACGGTTCGTCATCATCAATCACGGCCTCAACGAACGCATCTTCTTCATCTTCCTTAAAAGTGTAATTCCATTTCCTCCTTCCTCCCTTCCTGCCATTCATCTTATAATGCCTCAAGTCTTCTTCATCATCATCCTTTACAGACACTTCGTCCTCATCCTCCCAAGGGTTGCTTCCGAATTTCCTTTTTCTTGGTCTCCCGCGTCTCTTGAGCTTGGGCTTCACATTTTTCCTTCTTCGTGGAAGAGATGGATTTAGCATTCCCTGCATGATACGAGAAAACAAGAAACATCTTGCCAAATGCATCTTGCATATGTGGTCAGGTGATAACCTTACTCTTGAGTGATGCCATTAGATGTTAATCACATAAATACGTACATTTGCTCTTTGACCATGAAGCTTTGACTGAAACTTGCACTGACGTAAGCGACATTTCTGCCTTTTCTTGTTACTGCCACCAAACTTGGGCTTGTCCATGCAGAAGTCGCATTTGCCACAGTCGTCTTCACGAAGACACGCATCACACTGTCGGCACATCCTGCGATTGCGTTTTTTTGCAGCCTGAAATCAAGAGTAAAATGTTTTTTTTTTCCATTAATAACGATTGTTAGATGTGAGTAGACCTTAAAAACAAAGTGGTTTTATGAGTTCAGGAATAACCAGGAAAAGAATATTCCATGTCCAATTCATAATATGTTTTAACCATGTAAAGTCTGACATATTAAATCAGCTGACAATAGTCAGAAAATTATATTTTTTTGAAATGGAACAGTTTATTGAGCCTTTAGCCAAAAAACAACAAAAAAAGGTATGCATGTGTTAATAAAATGCAATTTTTTTTTCCCAAGTATCAAAAGCTGATACATCAGGCTTTTATGGTTTTATATATCAATATGGAGCTAACAGAACAAAAATATGCAATTTGGTGCAATTGCTGATATTTATATGACATTCTGGTAGCTTGGAATGTAAATCAAGGAGATCTTTTAACAGTATAGCAGACTACTTACATAAAATGCATATAAATATCAGCTGTTGCTCTATATCTTGCAATAATATGTCATAGTTAGATGATATTTAGCCTAAATGATTATTTTTATGATCAAAGTTCTGTAATGTTTGCTGTGAGGGGAAACATATAATAATCCAATACAATGATGACTGAGAGACAAATAAACGTTCCTCAAAAGCTTGATGATCATATTTCATACACACATTTTAACATGATTTTTCTTAGAAATTGATGTATGGTTAATCAAGTAAACCTAATTATTACTATTATTACTAATAACCTTACATCTAGTTTATTAAATTCTACAAAGATTTTCAGCAGATATCATAAAATATATAAAAAATCTATCACAACTTGAAACTGGACATTTTTACAATTATACTAAAAGGCCCCTCACTTGCTAAAATGGTATGAACTATCAATCAGATGACAGAAGAACACATGTGGAAGATTGTCTACAAGAGGTAAGAGGTTAGAGATTGTGATGCTGAACCACTCACCCAGTCATCCTCATCGTCATCACCATCAGGGACAAAATCCTAAAAAACACATACAATAAAAACCTGGATCAGTATTTTAAGCACTGAATATGTTGCAACAGTGGTGAAGTGTGTAATGTCTGCACTATAAGCAGCACAAACTGAATCCGCCAGTCTCATAAATGGATAGTTATACACTGAACTGATTTACATTGTAAAGGCTTGAAGTATGCAATAGATGAGGGAAAAAAAGGATTTAGCTACATAAAGCATGTACACTCACCATTTTTACCATTTTCTTGCATTTGGGATGTTGTTTCTGCAGGAGACAGAGTGACATTATGTTAATGGTGTGAAGTAGTTCAGCTACTGACAGATTATTTGATGATCTTTGGCAATGCTTTTGTGTATGCTGCAGTTTCATGTGTCAGCCTAAAAATGTTATCAATGTCTCCATATTATGTTATATGATTATTATTACCAGCATTTGTTTTCTTGGATGTTTTGTTTTCCCAACCTCCCACTGATCCTGCCCCACCTTGAAAATAATAATAAAAAAATAAAAAAAACATACAAAAGCATAAAAAATTATGCAAAGGAAATATGATAAACAGAAGTGTTACATTCAACAGAATCAGAAATAAAGGGAAATAATGTTACTAGAAAATAATAATCAAGAAAATAAAAGAATTAGTAAAGAATGCTACCAAAGAAATCCAAGGATAATCTGGACTTTGTTACTAGCTACTTATGGTGAGCAAACAACTGTTTTGGCTCATATATTGAGAGCAGAACAAAAGGGAAACTAGGTTGTTTTAGCTCATATATTATAACGCAAAAGTATCGCCAAAGCCTTATACCTCTCATACAGCTAACATGAACACAGACAAAGCAATACTGCTTCACTTCCACTTCACAACACCAAAAAAAAATAAAAAAAATAAAATAAAAAAATTTCAACCTCCTATGTCCATTAACAAAAAATAATATAGCATTGAGACATAGGAAAAATCATCCTCTTTACATAAGAAATACATAAAAATGATACAAATTTGCTAAATATATTTAAAATATATATTTTTTATTAAAATATGAAACGTTTAAATATTACAATTTAAATTATTAAAAAATAAGACATATTTAGTATATGCATATATAAAACGTATGCATATACTAAACTGTAAAAAACAAAATTGGGATATTTAAAGAAACATTACTACTATAGCAAAAACTGAAAATGTAGACTGCATTTATTACATGTGTGACAAAACAATTTTGTCAACACCGTCATCTGTCAACACAGGGTGTCAGATGTTGCATTTCTCCAACAGATGGACCTAAAAATCTGTTTAAAACCATCATATACTTTCAATTGATTCATCTATCAAAGTCGAGTGTCAGTATATATATATGATACATTTTAGACATGACAGAAGACATTATTTTTATCTGTTGGCGACGTTCAAAAATGGAAAAAAACAGAGGAAGCAGGATCAAAACATAGATCAATTCCGCTGATCTTGTTTAACAGATGAATCCAAAATGATGTTTGGCACATGAACTTCCCGTTTTATCCCAGCTGACGTTCAAAGATGGAAAAAAACAGAGGAAGCAGGATCAAAACAGATCAATTCCGCTGATCTTGTTTAACAGATGAATCCAAAATGATGTTTGGCACATGAACTTCCCGTTTTATCCCAGCCTTAAGAATCAGTGACAGAAAGTAAGGAAAAGCAGGCCTGACAGCTCTTGCGATGACTATTTAATGCTACATACCTTCCTAAACACAATATTTGGAGGAGAGTGCTTCTTCTCTGCTGCAGAAACGAGAAATCAGACAACACAAATCACACAAACATCAAACTTATCCTCTGCTGTTTGCTGAAATGAAGAGTGTAATTACAAATTCCCATACGTTTAGTCCTGTAGCATCTGTAGCACAATGTGTCTCCGATCTTCTGAGCAGAAAATGGGCCGCCACAGCTTTCACATTTACTAAAGAAAGACAAACAACTTTGATTTTATGAAGGTAAATTTAAGACTTTTTGAGACCTTTTTTAGACCAAGTAAAGAAAATTTAAAGAATAAATTGAAGGGAGTATATGTCAATAAGTTCTCTAAAAATAAATATCAAAGGTGCACAAAATGAGTTGTATTCACAACTCCTCAAAGTTTGAAAACACTACTTTAACCAGATATTCACTGCCAGTGTTGGGGGTTACACATTACAAGTAATCAGATTACTTTAAGTAACTAGTTAAGTAAAGCATTACTTTTAAATGTACAAGAAAATATTTAGAGTTACTTTTTCAAATAAGTAACGCAGATTACTTTGTTTTATTCACTGACACTTCTCCCGTCCCTGTGTTGAGAGAAATTATGAGTAGACATTCCATCAGCTGGAGACCTCACTCTTGATGTCAAAGGGCCTTTACAGTTGTCAAAAATATAACTTTTGGGTTTTTGGTTATTAAAAATAAACAAGAAAGCCCAGCCCAGGTGAGAAAAAGTAATGCAAAAGTAACAATGCATTACTTTCCATAAAAAGTAACTATGTAACGCAATTAGTTACTTTTTTTATGGAGTTACGCAATATTGTAATGAGTTACTTTTAAAAGTAACTTTCCCCAATACTGTTCTTTACTTAAATCATTTTACAAAAATAACTGCTTATTAACACTTGCAGAATATCTCTCCTCCCAATCTAGAACCTATACCCTAAAATATGGAAATAATCTGATCAAACTGCAAAAAAAACAAAAAGATTTTCTACCTCCGTATTTGTGTCTTATTTTCCAGTGTAAATGTCTGAACAAAATTGAGTTTAAGATTAAAACAAGAATAAATACCTGCCAATGGGCTCAGAAAAATCAACTTAATTCAAGGGGAAAACAAGTTTTGTTAATTTTGCTTCTCAGAAAACAAGACAATTTCTTTAATTTGCATCCCAAGTAAATGTATCTTCATTTAAGGATGTTTAGATATTTATATCCATATTGAAATTCCATTATCTCTGGAACTGAACCATATAGGGCCTTAAAAATTAAGATGCCAAAAGAGACGTTTGTTAAGACCCAATATCTAAAAGGGCATTATGATATCTTTAATACTTTGAGTTACAGGCCTGCAAACTAGGGCTGGTCCGAATACCATTTTTTGAGCTTCGAAGCTTCAGTAGTAATCAGCAGGGCTTATATGCTCCGAGAATGGACACTGCACTAGTGATACAAAACACAGGTCTGTTAAGAGCAATACTTTTAATAAGGTAGCCTAACATTTTTCTCACAAACAAATCACTCCCAAATCAGAAATTAGCAGCACAGTAATTACTGACACCGTAAAGGGTAGGCTAATTAAATAAAGGAAGAACGAAAAATAAATGAACGAAGTTCAACGAACTATAATAAATAAAAAACACGGTAGCATAGACAAATTATTATTAGGCTGGGCTACTGTACATTTTTTATGACTGCTGTATTCGCAAGTATTTTCCAAGCAAATTAAGTGCATGTTTTTATCATGTGTAAAATTACTGATTAACATGGCGGATAAAAGCAGCTCGTTTTTTTTACACCAACAATATACTATAGGCATACTACTTACAGAACTCAGGTGATTTTTCAAACTTGTGCTGTTGTGGTAGGCCAGTTTGAAATCGCATATTTGGCACACTGCCTTTGTTCTGTCCTCACTCAATTTAAAGTGCTCCCACACAGATGAGGTCTTCGGCATTTTTGTCTTCTCTTCCAGATGAACTGAATCATGACATTCATGACGTTCACTCATGGGCGATTCATATTCAAGCGCGAATGAGAACCGTTTC